CTGAGTCATTGTGAATCAGTTGTGCCACAGAAGTCATGTTCCATTCTCAGTGAAGACTAGTGCGAGGCGCTGACCTCGTAATTTCATCACCTTTCTAATTATAACATCCAAAAGGCCAGGGTCCTACTGCCGTGTTTTTCACGGGGATCAGTTATACAGGAAACGCTCAATGCTAAGGTAACTTGTACGTCAGTTATTCTCACAATAATTTTAATTGGTTAGCTCAGAAAAATCAGCAGAATGAGAATATATTGGACTCACTACCTGGAAGATCTGGTTTTATTGTTTGAAAAGGAAATGTACTGTGTCTGGGATTTTCAATAATATCGTCCCACGGTAAAAGTAAAAGATTGGTGTGTATTTTTTCAGATCTTTGCTCTGTCGGCCAAACCCTCCTTTGACCAGAAGAGGTCGCTAGCTGTACACGTAAAGCACTTTTACTAACTTCTGAGAGCCTGCTCTTTGTAGTGCTTTCCAGGGCTAGAAACCAGCCCACTGCTGAGCAATAGCTAGGTTGCTTGGAAATAGGTAAGGTAGATTTATTTGTCCTTCTGTGCTGTGTCATGAATTGAAAGGTACATTCACTAGCTAGAACATGTGGCAAAGCAAAAAGAGGATTTTAAAGATCAGGGCACAATGTATATTATTGTTTGCTATTGTACTTTCCATCATAGGCGGGCTCCGTGAGTGTCCAGAGAAGAAATAGTTGGTGCTCAGCGCACTCATCGGCAGCCAAGCTTTTCCCCTTTTCTCCTCCCCCAGCGCTTCTCACCTGCTGCTGGCCCTACTGATCAAGTCCTTCCCCTCCCTCCTGCTCTCTGGGTATAGCTGTTTCCCAGCGTGCAGGACACCCTGTGAGGGAGGAGAAGGAGCAGGGTGGAGTGTGCTGGGGACTGGAACGGAAAGAGAAGGGGAGACGTAGGGCAAGAGTGGAGCCTCAGAGCAGGGCTGGGCAAGATGCGGCATGGGGGCCAAATCCGGCCCACCTAACATTTTGATCTGGCCCACGGAATGCATCAGGGGGTGGCTCAGGCAGCGAGATCGTATTTAAATGGCTCCCAGCTCCCGGCTGTAGCGATAGCCTGACAGAGGCTGGAGCCACGCATCTTTTAAACAGCTGCAGCAACCCCAGGCGGCTGCAGGGCAGTGCAGTAGCCGCGGGGCTGAGGGCTGTGAACCCTTCAAAGTGATGTTATTTAAAGGGTTTGCAGCTCATGGTCCCGCCACTACTGCATTGCCTGGCAGGCGCTGGGATTGCTGCAGCTATTTAACGAGCTTGTGGCTCCAGCCCCTTTCCAGGTAGCTCTGCAATCAGGAGCTGGGACAAAGTATAGCAAAGGACTCGCGGTTCCCGGTCCTGCCACTACTGCATTGCTTAGCAGCCACCCAGTGTTGCTGCAGCCATTTAAAGGGCTCCTGGTTGTGGAGGACTTATGGAGGGGGGGTGGAGCCGACTCGAGACCAGTACCAAAATGAATTAAGTGGGCCTGCTGCGAAAATTATTGCTCACCCCTGGCCTAGGGCAAAAGGGGAAGGGTCAAGCACCCCTTAGCTAGAGGGTAAATGAGCCCTATGATTTCCATGCTCAAACACTTCTGTGTATCTAGTACAGTACATAGAAGTGCGCTTAAAATGAGCAGAAGTCCTGCATTTGCTAGTTTGTTTCACTGCAGTTGGGTTTATGGTGTCTATGATGGATGTGGCAATTCCCTGCAATATCTTTAAGAGATCTTACTATAATATATTTTTATATTATTGTGGGCCATGAAATGTGTGTCATTCCACGGGAGAGTGACCACCGCTCCTCCAGGAAATAAGAACAGAGGTGAAGAGCAAAGTTCCCTCTAATCTTTTCCACCCACGTGTAAATTTTTTTCCATCCACGTACAGAATAATTTTTTACGTGCACCGAAAGCCTGCCTGTGGGTGCTCTGCTAAGCAGCTGGATGGCATCTGAATTTCTCCTGGGCAGCTGCACAAGTGCTTACAGGGAACATTGGTGAAAAGATCAGGCAAACTCACTCCTATTGTAACTAGGGATGTAAATATCGTTCAAAACCGTTAACCAGTGAAATATTTAAAACTGTATCTTTAGCCAGTTTACCATTGGTGGGCCGGCGCAGAGCAGCTGGGGGCGCTGTCTCACAGGGCTGTGGACAGGCATGGCATTGTTGCTGTGCCACGGCTGGGGCCCTGCCTACCCCTGCCCAGGGTCACTGCAGTGCTGTTGGGGCAAGGGCAGGGCTGCTAGTACGGCCAGGGTTGGGACTGGGGCTGTGGGTCCCACCTGCCCCACTCAGGACTGAGGTTTCAGGCACAGTTGGGGCTGCTCCTGTAGCGTGGATGAGGCCAGGATCCCCTTGTTCCCAGCCTGGATGTGGCTGGGGCTGCTGCCATAGCTGAGGGCGGAGCTGCTGACGTGGCAGAGGCTGCTAGGAATGCAGACGTGGCCAGGGCTGGTGCGGGAGTGGGTGGGCCACTATGGCCCCACCTGCTGCCCTGCCCTGAGTTCCTGCCATCCAGCCTGTCTGGTTAACTGGTTACCTATCTGGTAGATCTAATGCTTACCGGGTAACTGGTTAACTAGTTAACCTTTTACATCCCTATTTGTAACCCCCCCCAGAAAAGTAGCGCCACCTGGTGATGATCGTATATACTGGTTCAAACTGCATTCAGGTACATACAAGGTTGTTACAAAGAGGTAAGTAATGTGTTGTCATTAACCTCTGAGAATAGGACAAGAAGCAATGGGCTTAAATTGCAACAAGGGCAGCTTAGGTTGGACATTATGAAAAACTTCCAAACTGTTAAGGTAATTAAGCCTTGGAATACACTGACTAGAGAGGTTGTGGATAGCGATGTAAAATGCCATTTAATCAGTTAACTGGTTAAACATTCTGTTTAACCGATTAACTGCTTAAACAGGAGTGAGCTGGGATCTGCTCCTCTCTGCCTGTTGTGAGGCACCAGGCTCTGGCTGGTTTGGGGTACCCTCTGCCTTCCCTGCCCATGGCATGGCACAGCTGGCCCCACTGTGGGCCCGCCATGAGCTGGGGATGCTCTGGTCTGGCTGGAGCACCCCCCGCACCTGCCATTTGGTATGGCTGGCCTGACCTTCCCATCGTAGGCAGGGGTGCTTCGGTCAGACCAGGCCCACCATGGGTGTGGGCTGCTCCAGCTCAGCCGGGCTGCTGGGTAACCGTAAATGCTAACCATTCACATCCCTAGTTGAGGAATCTCTATCATTGGAGATTTTTAAGAACAGGTTAGACAAACATCTGTCAGGGACAGCCTAGATAATGTTCAGTCCTGCCATGAGTGCAGGAAATTGGAGTAGAAGACTTCTCAAGATCCCTTCCAATCCTGTGAGTCTAGGATTCTTCAGAGTCTAACAGACAAAGAAAGGACTAAATAGCGTGAGTATAAACTGACTGAGGAATACCTTTCTTCTGTCCAAGGGAGGCTCCAGTCCTTCCAAGGAGGGCTTGGAAGAACTTTGGCTTCCTGAGGCCCCGTAAGACGGATGGATGACTTCTGAGAAGCTTATTAGCATGCATTCAGGTTCTTTTATTATTTGAATGTTTTATCTGTGATGCTTTCGCCTGAAGAATAAATGCATTTGCTTATAATGAGTTGGATGATAATGTATAACTAGTGGCAATTATGTTCTTTTATAAGTCTTCACAGAGAAACCAACACACTGATGATGGCTGGTTATAGACAGTCTGACTTGCTAGGAATATCACAATCAGGAGAGAGAAGGAGTAGTCCTTGGGGCAATTCTGCACCACTGCGCAATGCAGAATTTTGAATTAATTTAATTTTTTTGCACAGAATATCTCTTGAATGCAAACAGGGCTTTTTCGAAAGAGAGGGTCCCGATTGCCTGGGTGCTTTCTTTCGAAAAAGCGGATCACTTTTTCGAAAGTCTTGTGGATGTCTAGACAATCTCTTTTGGAAGAGGCTTGTAGTCTAGACGTACCCTTAGGTTGGGGATGGGTGTCTGGGCTGAGGGGCCTATGCAGCTGGGCTCTCAGAGGGCAGGGGATGTGAGTGTCTGCCCCCCAAATGGGCTCTTAGGGAGTGCAGGCAGAGAAAGAGAAACTGGGTTGTCATAGGAGTTTCTTTAACTCTTTACTACTAGACGTATTCTTTTGTGTGCCTGTGTTGTTACAGACCTACTTGCTGACAGGTATTTGGAAATAAATTACCAAAATAGTTGAAACTGGCATGGTTCTGTACTGTTTTTTTGATACATTTTGCAGAATATTTCAGAATTTTAAAACATTGCTTGCAAAATTTTTAATTTTTGGCATAGAATTCCTCCAATAGTAAGGGACAGGGCAGCTGAACAAAGGTGATGGCTGAAGAGCCAAAAGTCTAAAGTGATGCTTTGCAAGGACTACAGAGTGAGTTGCCCTGAACTGTGACTGTCTTCTCTAATAGCCTGACTTGATTAGTCTCATTAACACTCGGGATGGTAAAACGTGTGTATTTATTTCAATGTGTAATCACTGAAAAATCCAGCAGTTACAAGTTTACACACAGGAGCCAGTGCTTAGGGAGCTGCCCTTTATATTGGCTTCCCACAAGCACCGGCTCCCACGGAGCCACCTGCCCTCCACCCTGTACTGCTGCCTCAGAGCTTAAAACCGGTTCCCCATGCCTACTGGCTCCTGCCTGCTCTCCCACACTTCTGCCTTTGTATCAGGCTCATTGGTTAACCATGTACACGTGTACACTGTCGTATCCCTAATTAACACTGGTTCTACACTTGACAAGTAACTTCTTTTGTTGTTTTTATATATACACCCCTGCCTCTGTAATTTCCATTCCAGTTCATCTGATGAAGTAAGTTTTACCCACAAAAACTTATGACCTAATAAATCTGTTTGTCTCTAAGGTGTCACAGGACTCCTCATTGGTTTTGCAGATATGTACAAACATGGCAACCCCTCTGAGACTTCTCTGATAGAATTCCTTTTTGATTGTGTCTTAAGGAATGGGGATCTTCAGCTTTGCCAGATATGACAGTGACTTTTATAGTGCAAGCTACAAAGGCAGACTGAAGAAAGTCAAGAAGCTTCCCTCCTCAGACTATTCAGTTTTTGATGGCTATTATACGCCTGCAGTCACCAGTGTGCTGCTTCTGAGGTCATGCAAGGTGGGTGCCTATTGGGATCTGCAAAGTTACTGATAGCCTTAAATTTCCATTTGGAAATACAAACAGTTTTTGTTTTGTGTTTAATTCTTCTCTTGCTGGAGTAAATTAGGAGTAGTAACACCAGTGAAGTCAATGGAGTTACACCAGTGTTAATAACAGCAGAGTCTGGTCTTGTCATCGTTTAGCCTTGTAGTTGAGATCAGGTTGGATGTTCAAGCTGATATCCTTAGACTTGTGTACATGGGAGCAGGATGCTCTCAGTAGAGGGTACTTGGCAAGGATGGATTAAAGCCAGATCCACTAATCTGAATCTTGGATTGGGAAAAGGTCTGAGGAGTGACAAAGTTTGGATCCAAGGATACAGCTAAGCTCTAGAGAGTGCTGGTGTTTGCTGTGAGGACTGAGGAGTGGGGGGTAACACAGATGGAGTAGAGAACCTGGAGTGGAATTAGTGTTTTTGCAAGGGGGAGGGGCTTTGGTTTGCTAAGAGCCCTTTGGTGGGTATTGGATCCAAGATCTATTAGGCTGGATCCACTACCAATCTGCTTCAGCTTGACTGGATGGAGCCAGTTTAGTAACCTCCAGGCCTGCCTGTTTAATTAACCACTTCTTGTAGAGGTGTGTCTGTGAGATACTCAGGGGCGGCCAATGAGCCTAGGCAGACGAGGTGGTCGCCTAGGGCGCTGCCGGCCCGGGCGTCCCGTGATCACGTCGCGGCCATTGACGGCCGTGCAGGCGGGGGCACCAATCGTGCCTTCTGCCTGGGGCACCAGCTGCTACAGCCAGCCTCGGGCCGCTCCTGGAGATACTGTAGCTGCAGGAAGAACTTCATTGGTATTTGTGGTTCCTGTTGTCAGTGGACGGATGTGGTTTGAGAGCCTTTGTCCAGATACTAGAGGCTGTGTCTACACTGCACCCCTTTTCCGGAAAAGGGATGCAGATGAGACAAGTCGGAATTGCAAATGAAGCGGGGGATTTAAATATCCCCCGCTTCATTTGTATAAACGTGGCTGCCGCTTTTTTCCGGCTCGGGGCTTTGCCAGAGAAATGTGCCAGTCTAGATGGGATCTTTCGGAAAATAAACCCTTTTCTGAAAGATCCCTTATTCCTCTTAAAATCAGGAATAAGGGATCTTTCGGAAAAGGCTTTATTTTCCGAAAGATCCCGTGTAGACTGGTGCTTTTTTCTAGGAAAGCCCCGAGCCAGAAAAAAGCGGTAGCCACGTTTATACAAATGAAGTGGGGGATATTTAAATCCCCCGCTTCATTTGCAATTCTGACTTGTCTCATCTGCATCCCTTTTCCGGAAAAGGGGTGCAGTGTAGACACAGCCAGAGAGTACAATAGCATTTTCCTAAATTGGAGAAATCACCTCACCTAATTGATGCATTTTAATTTCCAAATCAAGGAAGATCATACTTCCCTTTACTCAGTATTGATTGACCTAAATAAAACACAATAAATCCTTATTTTGAAGGCCAGTAAATTCAATCTCTGGGGCTTAGTCAGGGGGTCGTGAGTCTTAGCTTACTATTGCTTGCAAGGTACTTTGAGCTCCCTGGATAGTAGCACTATATTTATAAGGATAATTCTTTACACTTCAAACATCTGGTTTTAAAAATCACTTAAGCATATTCTGAGAAGCAGATATTTTGTTACAATAGTGTCGAGAGGTCCCCCTGAAATTAGGGCCTGATTGTGCTAGGTGATGTACAAAAAAAAGGAGAGAGGAAGAGACAGCCTCTAAACTTGGGGAGCTTAGAGCCCAGGTCCACAATACAAAACAAGAATGGGAGAAAGTATTACTGTCCTCATTCTGCAGCTGATGAACTGAAGCATAGAGAGACTGTGACTTACTCAGTTCACAGGAAGTCTGTGGCAGTGCTGGGAATTCAACATTCACTTCCTTTCATTAACTACAAGGCCATCCTCTTCTTTTTTCTTTAGCTAAAATTGGTACCAGCCCAGTACCAGCTCTGTTGACCTGTCTTGGAATGGGTTCGAAGTGGATCATTGTATCATCAGCCCATTTCGGAAGGTGTTATAATGGGTATTGCTGATGTAGGGAGAGCAGAAGAAAGAGGGGAAAATATAGATTACAGTACTTTGTGAAGTATGACCTGTATTTCAGACCCTGACCCATGAGATTGGACACATCTTTGGACTCCGTCACTGTCAGTGGCTGCAGTGTGTGATGCAGGGTTCCAATCATCTGGAGGAATCAGACCGACGCCCGTTGGACCTGTGTCCAATTTGTCTGCGCAAGTTGCAGTCTGCCATTGGCTTTCACCTTGTGGAGAGATACCAGGTACAGAGAAATTGCTTAGAAAGGGAAGGGTTTGCCATTGAGGAACAGACTACTTCTTCAGGTCTAACGACCTGCCAATAACTGATCTTCCTAAAAAAGTGAAAATCTTTCATCATGCACCTGACTACATGTGCAGTAATGTAAATGGGAGAAGTACTTACAGATCCCTATGGCTGTCTGCCCGTGCCAAAGAGCATGATATTCGATTAGCCCGCAATTAGCGTGTATTATCCAATCCCAATGTTTAACCTTTTGACCCCTAGCAGGAGTGAATCTCACAGCCGCAAACAGAAAGAAAAAACATTTTTCTTGTGTTTGTTTCTGCCACTTTAGTTATTTGAAACATTGCTATGGAAACTGTAGTTAATGTCAGTGTGTTTTTCTTGGTACCTTTTTGGTCCTCTACTGTAGTGCTTAAAAAAGTTAAAAATTAAGGAGCACAAACATTCATGGCCTCCAGAGGAAACTGTGGTTTGAGACATGCAAAGTAAGATCATTGTTTATGCAGAATACTGTCCCCATGGTTTATTGGAAACGAAGTGTTTACTTGTTATACTAAATAGTGAGCTATAGAAGTGGCTAGTTGTACTGACAATTCTTCACATTTAAAATGGAGGACAGAATAACTGTATTTATGGTTGGCTTGTTGAAAAACTCCTAATCCCTATAAACTGGGTTTGTTCCCAGTAGACTATAATGGAAAAAGAGAGAACAATTTCAGAGTTGTTCAGTAGTTTAATTTGATCCAAAACTCACTGAATCATGAATGGCCGTTCAGCTTGTGTATCTTTTTCTAGGCGTTACTGGAGTGGATGGATGAAGATGGGAATGGAATGGAAGCTGAACTCCGCAATGAAGCCAAGATGGGTTTGCTGAAACCCATAGAAGCATTTAAGGAGTGTCGAGAGTGGGTATTAAAATGTCTTGATGTCCTGCAGAAATAAAGCTGTAGGATGTATGTAGTATCAAAGGGGAACTATTCTCCTCTGTTTAAAGATTAACTTCCAGGTTGACCATTTCTAAAACTGTTGTAACTTGCTATAGGTCATCCACTGCATTGTAAGGATCTGTAATAAAAATCCATCCCTTTGTTGCTGAACCATTTACCTTTACTCCAGAACAGTAACTCTTTCTTCCATGACCATACAGTATTTGATCTCTGCTAGTGCCTTGCTCATAACAGAAATCAAGGTACATTTTAATCTCAATTGCAGGAATATACAGAAGAATATTTAATATCTTGTAAAAAGGGCGTAATGTGTAGCTTTTAAATATATATTCTAAATATTTGCAGAGGATTGTAGTGTTTATCTAATTTCTTTCCCAAGCATTGGAAATTAGGAGCATTGAATAATGAGGAGTCAGTGGCCAAGCTCCCCCACACCCGCTGAAGCTGCAAATCTGTAGTATTCTTCAGGTCCTGTAACAGGCCTTTTCTATACTACCGCAGGCCATCAACCTAAGTTATGCAACTTCAGCTACCTGTATAATGTAGAAGTCTATGTACTTAGATCTGTTTCCTGCTGTCTCTGCACTGTGTTAAGTCGACATCTGACAGTCTCCAGTTGACTCCACTTAATCTTCTCATTTTGGTGGCGTACCGGAGTTGATGGGAGAGTGCTTGCAATAAATCGACCTCCACTGGATTGATCACTGCCTGTTGCTCTAGCCAAGTGGTCCCCAACGCGGTGCCTGCGGGCGCCATGGCGCCCACCGGGGCATTTATGTGCTCCCACCTAGTGACCAGGGCCAGCCCAAGTCATTCTTGCACCCTGGGTGCATGCACGGCCCCTGCCCTAAGCGCGCGGCGCATGCATAGCGCTGCCCCTCGGTGCCCGGCAGCCCCAAAGGGTTGGGGATCACTGCTCTAGCCCATAGTGAAAACATGCATTAAGACAGTCACTGGGGAGAGGATTCCATCCCCACTACCTGCCTAGAGGCCTGCAATTTTCTCCATGTGGGTGCAGCGGCCTGTCTGTCTGCAAAATCATTTGCAGGGTCAGATCCAAAGTGAGTTTTTCATTTGAGAATCAGGAAATGGTGCCTGGGTACTTTAAATTAGGAATAGAATGAAAAGAAACTGATTAAAGAGCCAAAGCAGAACAGATTTAATTGATGTGTTGTGTGATGTGTTTAATTTCCCATGCCAGGTTATTATTTTAATTACGGACACCAAGACCCAATTATACTTCAATTTTCTTTATATAATCCTGTTAGGACACTTCCTTAGTCTGTTGCTGCTAAACTGATTTCTTCCCATCATTACCCCAAAGAAAGGCTGGAGGACTGGATTTCACACTGTGTACAATTTTCAGGATTATTTTTGCACTGTTTCACAAAGGTGTATTTGTGTTCCCTTCCAAATCCCTTTGCATTGTGAGCAATTAACTTTCTATTGAAGTTTATAAATAAATCATTGCTGTTCCAATGGAAAAATATATGCCAAATGAATGTTTTATGATTTTTAGATTTAAATCCGTTCGAAACGTGTTATATTTATTGCTGTTATAATTTCCATAGTGCCATGTTTGTGGAAATTTTATTTGACAGTTATATAAAAGGACACAATCCATGTCCCAGAGGCTTCCATTTTGAGGCTGTGATCTTGTAATCTAATCAGCAGAGGCAGCCATACTGAATGGTGCTCTACTCCAGAACAGAGGCCCCTCTGTGCAGATCAGATTGCAGAACTGGGTCTAATCCTGCAAGCACTTCAGAATAGAAGTAATTTGATTTACATGAATTGTCACCATTGTTATCCTGATTTCTTGGGTGAATAAAGTTTACTCACATGCTTAAGTGTTTGCAGAACACAGTCCACATTTCTCCACCTCACTTAACACCTCAATTGCTAAAGGCACTGAGCAGGAAACCTCTGTGTTACCAGTGGATTTTTGTGTTCCACCAATTTTGGAATAACCAAACTATACAGGATGTTCAGTACATCGCTGCTTTCATTATATTTTTAAAGTTTGGAAAACATTTGATGACAATCACCAGGACTAAAACTTTGGCAAAACTCCAAGACTTCAGTGGGGCCCGGATTTCATCTTAAATCTTAAATGTATACAGATTTTTTTAAATGACATTTTAAAAATCAAAATTAATTTTTGCCTTTAAATACTTGCACCATTCATAGGCACCAGAATTTTTTTTTTTTTTGGTTTATGCATAGGTAACCACGCATGGCAAACTCACTAGAACCTGCATTCCCATGTGTATGTCCTATCGTCAGGATTTTCAGGTGGAAATGGTTAGAAAGTGAGGGAGACATTTGATTTCTAAAGGCTCATTAAAACAGAGCAAAATGCTTCCTCACGAAAGATTATAAGCAGTGTTGTTATAGCCCTTTTGGTCCCAGGGCATTAAAGAGCAAAGGTGGATGAGGTAAGAGCACAGAAGTTTAGTGAGGGGACCTGCCCCCCCACAGAAACAGAAGACAGGACTATGCAGCTCTTTAAAGACTAACAAGATGGTTTATTAGGCGATGAGCTTTCGTGGGCCAGACCCACTGCCCCACCAAAGCTCATCACCTAATAAACCATCTTGTTAGTCTTGAAAGTGCTGCATAGCCCTGTCTTTTGTTTCAGCTACCCCAGACTAACAGAGCTGCATCTCTATGGCTATTCCGACACAGAGAGATGGTGCTGTAAAAACAACACCGCTAATCACCGCACTCTCCAGATGCAGATCTGCAGGAGGTGCCGGGCTAGAGCTTTCTCCAGCAGCCAATCGCAGCAGGCCAGTGGGGTAGTGGAAACAACATCGCTCCCTTTTGCTGGGCCCGCCCGTAACCACGTGCGTGGTGCAGGCAAAGCGCTGCGCGTGAAGCCCCGGGGCTCTGTAGGGGGCCGGGAAGCGAGCAGCTGTAGGCGGCTGAAACTTTCGCTCCACCCTTCGGTGTGGCCCAGGGCGGGGCAGGGCCTCGCTCACCCGCGTCACGCTGCGCAGCGGGGAGGATTAAGCATGGCAGGCAGGCAGCCGCGGGCCGCTCTCAGTACACCAGTGAGTGCACCCTTCTTTTGGCTGGCTGTGGGGCTTGATTCTAGGGGGCCTGTCCCTGGGGGCGGCGTGTGCCAACTTTTACACACCTGTGTGCGGGACACAGCTGCTTGTAATGAGCTGTGACCCTTGGGGGGATGGGGCCTGTGTCTCTCTGCAGTGTGTTTGCAGCTGCCAGCTCGGAGAGTGCAGGGGAGGGCAGAGCAGGAGGTGTGGCTATTGCTGATCAACTCGCAACTGTGTGTGTGTGTTGGGGGGGAGATGTTATAGGGAGAGATTCAAATCCAGGTACAGCTCGTGGCTGGTGGATATTTAGTTGATGATGCATGAAGGAGATGGAATCCAGGTCTTGCAGAGTGAGGATCTCAGGTCTGGACTTAGGATGGTCTGTAGGATTTGCCTCATTATTACTTTGCATTTTGTCTGTGTGTTCCGTGGCGGCTCTGTGTGTGTATTATTCGCTCAGGTCGGGCACCTGTTCAGCTAGTTACATTACAGAGCAACAACCAGCCCCTGCCCACCAGTAGAAAAACCCTTGTTGGCCATAGAATACTAGAACTGGCAGGGACCTGGAGAGATCATCCAGTCCAGTCCCCTGCCCTCATGGCAGGACCAAACATTGTCTATATCATCCCTGATACCAGTGACCCCAGCACTTATGACCTAATTGGTTCCTGGAGAGCCATCATAAGTCGAGCCATAAGTCGAACCCTTATTTCTTAGAGGTGCAATGTTATAAATGGGAGTTCTGTTCCTGGCCCACTTTGCTTCCTGGGCGTTGTAGTCCCCAATGTGCTGGGCCTGAAAGGACTTGCTGAGCTGGAGCACGGCAGTCGTAAGTTGGGGGTTGCCTGTAGATGTCTGTCTAACCTGCTCTTAAATATCTCCAGTGATGGAGATTCCACAACCTCCCTAGGCAACTTAGGTTGTGGAATCAGCTTGACAGGAAGTTTTTCCTAATGTTCACCTAAATCTCCCTTCATGCAGTTTAAGTCCATTGCTTTTTGTCCTATCATCAGAGGTCAAGGAGAATAATTTCCCCCCCCTTCTCCCTGCAACACCTTTTTAGATACCTGAAAACTGCTATCATGTCCCCTCTTAGTCTTCTCTTTTCCAAACTAAACAAGCCCAGTTCCTTCAGCTTTGCCTCATAGCTCATGTTTTCTAGACCTTTAATCATTTTTGTTGCCCTTCTCCAGACCTTCTCTAATTTCTCTAAATCTTTCTTGAAATGTGGCACACAGAACTGGACACAGTACTCCAATTGAGGCTTAATCAGTGCAGAGCCATAATGCTGTGGTACGCAGAAGGCTAGAATTCTCAGGCTCTGTCAACTTTCCGGCGGGAATACCTGTACCCATCCATGGACTGAAAATGTCTTTGCTTCAATCTAGAGGGTGTGTAATAAAGGACCATCTGAGCATGGAGGTTGAACTTGAGGCTTTGAAAGGTGGTAGGGATTCACAGGTGGAGATTCCCATAGAATTTATTAACAGACTATTTCTTCCATTCAGAATGGCAATGTCCTCTTCCCTTTATATAGCCAGCCTTCTCTGCTGGCTGGTGGATTATGGAGTGGAGCTATAATCCTGCCTGCTCCATCCCCTTGCTTATCCGCTTGATCCTTGGTGGCGGACCTGCAGTGGAAGAAACCCTAGTACAGGTGCATAAGTGGCGGAATTCTGACTCCCTCTGCAGCCAAGTTGGGCCATAGACAATCTCTGGCCTGGAGTTGATTGACTCTAAATGGTATAAAATGCTTCATTTCAGTAAGCTTGCGTGTTGTCCGCATGGGCTAGTACGGATTAAAAGGGTATGGGCAGATGTTCGTTTCCACTGTGCAGCCTGGGGGAACAAGGCCAGGTCTACATCATCAGAGAAAGTTGACTTAAGAGAGGCAACTCCAGCTATGAGAATAGCGTAATTGGAGTCGACATGCCTTAAGTTGACTTCCCTTACTTGCGCCCCTGTGAAGTACTGGGGTCGACAGGGATGCCGTCAGCAGTTGATTTAGTGGGTCCTTTCTAGACTCACTAAATCAAACCCTGGAAGATCAATCTCTGGTGTGTTGCTCTCGGGGTAAGTGTAGTCAGGCCCTGAGA